AAGACCAGGGAAGCATTAGTCCCCAAGGTGCCAATGATTCCCTTACTTCTGGCAGAGAGACCTTTCAATCACATCGCATTGGACATAGCAGGCCCTTTCCCACGTAGCTGGGCAGGCTATCAATTTGTATTAATAATCATTGATTATGCCACCCAGTTCCCTGAAGCAGTGCCCCTATGAACAGTGACCGTCCCAAAGATTGCCAAGGCCTTGATGAAATGGGTGGCCTGGGTAGGGCTACTTCAAGAGATACTAACTGACCAGGGAAAGAACTTTATGTCTAGTGTCCTGAAGGGCATATGCAAGATGCTGTGGATCAAGCAGCTGCAGACTTCAATCTACCACCCCCAAACCCATCGGTGAAACTATTCAACAGGACCTTAAATGGTATGATCCGGGTGTGTATACAAGAGGACCCCAGTAAGTGGGATGGAATGCTATCAGAGAAGCCCTGCAAAAAACACTACTGGGTATTCAGCCTTCGAACTGGTATACGGGCATCAACCATGGGGGATCTTAGATCTAATTTGCAAGAACTGGACAGAGCCCGAGCTGGGGAGGCTAAGATGGCCCCAAGCAGTGACCGACTTCCAGGAAAGGCTAGAAAAAGTGCGAGACATAGCCCAAGGTAACTTGGAGTGAAGCCAGGCTCAATGAAAGAGGAACTATGATGTTCATACAAGAGTGTGGGAGCTTAGGTAAGGGGATTGGTCTCTGGTATTACTACCAGACAGCACTCACAAGCTGTTGGCCCAGTGGCAAGGTCCTTTCCAAGTCTTGCGGAAGATTGGACCTGTCAACTATGAGGTATTGAGAATACACCCAGTTAGAAGAAAACAAATATATCAAATTAATCTATTGAGAAAATGGCACCAGCAAGAGGGGTGGTGAATGCAGAAGAATAGGAGCACCGAGGATTTTGAGGAAAGGGAGTATCATGGGAACAACAGGGCCCATCTGGGGAACTGGGGATAGGCAAAGATCTAGGCCCAGATCAAAGAGAGGCAATAGGGAAGATAATTAGGGAATTCTGGGATGTCTTTAACGAATGCCCAGGGGAAGCCAAAGGTATAGAACACCGGATAAAGACACCTGCGGGTGTAGTGGTACGGAATCATTGGCGAAGACTGCCACGTCACCTGTGGCCAGTAGTTAAGGAAGAAATTGATAAGATGTGATGCCTAGGAATCATAGAAGAATCCCATAGCACCTGGCGGAGCCCAAAGGTGATTGTCCCCAAACCAGACGGGTCCATATGCCTCTGCATAGACTACCGAAAGGTAAATGAAGTCTCAGACTTTGATGCTTTCCCTATGCCCCAAACAGACGACATGTTGGAAAAGGTAGGCCAGGCCCAGTATATTTGCATGCTAGATCTCACAAAGGGCTACTGGAAAATTCTGATTCCACTGGCAGACCGGGACAGCATTTGGGACCCCATGGGGGTTGTGACAATTCAAGCAGATGCCTTTCAGCCTCCACAGGTGGCAGCCTCCTTTCAGAGGCTTATGGACAAATTGCTGACTGCCCACCAGGACTAAGCAGCGGCCTACATAGACAGTTTCATAATATTCTCAGGAACCTGGAGTGAACATTGCCAACACCTCCAAGCGATATTGAAGGAACTCCAACAAGCCAGGTTGACAATCCCCGCAAGTGTGTACCGGGGAAGAAAGAAACCCAATATTTAGGGTTCATAGTGAGGCAAGGGAGAATCCAACCAGTGGCAGATATAGTGGCCGCCATACGCCAATATAAACTGCCTAGAACCCTGAAGCAACTAAGATCCTTCTTAGGATTTGCTAATTATTACCACCGTTTTATTCCTGAGTTCTCTAGGACTGCAGCCCCTATAACTGAATGAACGAAGGGCAGACAGAACCCGGTGAGGTGGACTCCTGAGACTACCTGAACTTTTGAACAGGTGAAGCAGGTATTGTGTGAGGACTCCATAGTGTACACACCCGATTTCCAAAACACTTTCTTTTTACAGACAAATGCATCTAAAACCACCCTGGAAGCCATTCTATTCCAAAAGGAAGGCCCTGACAAAAGGCCCATTGCTTATGCTAGTAGGAAACTGACTGCTGCAGAGGTCTGATACTCCACTATAGAAAGAGAATGCTTGGTAATCCAAGCGGGGGAGGGAGGTAGCTGTTCTGCTATTATTTATTATTTGGGAAGAAAATGTATTTTGACTACAGACCACGCTCCGTTGCGTTGGCTACGGACCACGAAAACAGACAATGCAAGATAAACTAGGTGGTTCCTTGCTTTGCAACCTTTTATTTTTCAGTAGAACACCAGTCGGAAAAGGAACAGGAACATGGACTTCCTCTCCTGCCCTAAGGAATGACACACTGGGGACCTGAGACCCCACAACAGGACAGAGCACTATGTGGACACTCCACGTTTTTTTCTCTTTTTCCTTCTGCTTTCCTTTTTCTGTGTGCTCCTGCTCCCTCCTTAGTGATGCCAAAAACCGAGTAGGTAGGTATGTAACAGGGTGACACAACACTGTTACTAAAAACACACGGGTATAACCCTGCTGTGCCTAAATGCCCGGGAGTAACCTAATGGGGTCAGGAACAGGGAAAGCACAGCGAATATACTAGTGCGGCCAGAGAGTAAGCTGACACTGGCAACAAATTACTTTGATTTTCATGGGCAAATCTGCAGAAGGAAGGATAAAAGGCAGACACTCAGAACAAGTGATTGCCCCCAGGGACACTACAAAGACTAGAGAGACCCAATGTGACAGGCGGATCGTGAGTCTCCAAATGGATCCCAGCCAGGTAAGCAGACCACAGCCAGGTCCCATCTTCAAGGAGGTGAGAAAAGATTCATTACTTACCGCGACTGGATAGCCCCAGGACACCGCTGGGAAACCAGGGCCTGAAACCCTGAACACAGGGAAAAGGGTTCAAGAGCAGGCTCCGGGACTCAGGAGAGACGCCGGAAAAGCGGTGGGACGCCGCTTAAACAGACAGACGCTTATTTATTTTGTTAAAGGGGAAGGAATTGTTTAATAAAAGAATTCAGGGTGACCAGCTCAGATCTGTTGGCATCTATTGTATATTTTGTCGAGGGAGGGTATTAACTCTTCTTTTCTCCCATCATAAAGTCGTGGCAGACGAGTCCCTCCCCCACAGATGAAATTGAAGGCTTGACACCATCGACCCTCCTACAGAGGCAATTTATGATCTTTAGAGGCAATGAAGCTCAGCTCTGCTTTTAACCCAAGACTCCACCACTCTGCTAACACGTGTCCCAAATTACTCCTTGCTCCCAAACTTTACTTACTTAAACTCCAAGCATTTGGTGATCTCCTTTTGCAAGTGCATGACTTCGTACAACAGGTTCTGGAGCTGTAGGTGATAGGCATCTACCTTCTGCTTTGCCTGAAATAAGAATACGATCAACTGAATGTAAAAAATAAATAAGTCAAAGTTAATGGAGGAATCAATAGCAAGAGACAGAGGCGGTCATATTTGGGGGGGGATTTAGGCAAGGTACCGATGACCATGGTGATATCGAGCCCATCATTAGTAGAAAGACCAACACATGGGAGGCAGGAAATGTTTAAAAAATAGGAGCTGCCAGATCAGAATAAAACTAAGCTTTGAAACTCTAAGAGCATGCTGCAAAGGACTCCAAGCAAGGGATTGTGGTCCTATGGATGTTCCTCACTGCAGCAAGGTCTTGTAGAACTGCAATTCAATGCCCAGCTCTGCCAATGACCTGCTGGGCTACTTGGGCTGAGTCACTTAACCTCCCCATGCCTTGGCTTCCTACTCTATCCCCAATGGAGATAAATACTGTTCACCTCTTTATAAAGATCTTTGGGAACTGCAAATGAAAAGCTCTGTAAGAGCCAGGTTTTACTATTTTCTCAGAACTATTGTACATCAGGCTGTCAAGACAGCAGCCTCTTGACTTTAATTGCATTCAGGATATGAAGAAGGTGCGGTTTCTCTGCAATTCACTGTAGTTACGAGAGCACCCGATTCACTGAAATGGAATTCCCTTGTATGCCTCTAACTCAAGGACCACTAAATCTAGTCCAGCTTTTGGCAAGATACTGGGCAATGATGACCACCATCACCCACTCATCCACCCACACACACAATCCCCGAGGCAGGGATTACCCATATTCCTTGAGCATTTCACCATCCACTTCTGCATTTCTTTCAGCCTGTGGCCTTCAGCATACCTCATGGGTTTGATCTCTCCCCTTCTTCAGCCGGATGTGAGCCAAACGGTTGAGTTTCTTCAGCGTCATGAAATGCACACAGCTCTGGATCCGCCGCTCCTCAATCTCAGCAGCCTGAAGGGCAAGAGCGGGGAGTCTGATGTGGACAAAGTTCCTTGCTAGCAGCTCTTGTAAGTAACTAGCCACTGCAGAGCTAATTGGTTATTGTGCTAGTTAGAAGAACCTAAAGCAAGCAGGGAGCTACAGAGATGAATCTTACAGGAAAAACACTGGTAACAATCCCTTGAGCTTCTGCCAGGGCCCCCTCTCCTTCCCAGTCTCAATGTTCAAGTGTTAGAAATAAATAGAGGTCCTCCTCATTGTGTCCATTCCTTAGTCCACAATTCTCCATGTATGTAAGACAGAACTCAGTCCCACTAGAGGGCCCTGGGTGCTGCTTTAATGAGAGCTTTCAGTAATTGAATCCCTAATTCAGAGACAGTTTTACACTCTAGTTGAATAAAACAGGTTGGTCTAAGATTCCCTGAAGGCCAGATGTAGACACACAACCTTACACCATCGTAAGTCACACTATTGTGTGGAAAAGTTATTCCTCACTTTCCAAGGGGTAACTGATGCAAGTTACAAGAGCTGTGTGTGTCTGTAGGAAGCTACACACACTTCTCCAGTTCTCAATTTCATTGCAAGGTAGCATTTGCTCTAATTTGACCTGAGCCACTTAGTGACTGACAGTGTAATCACACCTACTAACCTGGGAGACCTGGTCATGTGCCCACTACTTAATAAGGTATAAATATCCTATGGAATAAAATCTGGGACAAGTGACTCCATTGCAACTGCCTACAATCACAGATATCACTCAGTGACTTTTGCACCTCCTTTCTGTTGTCCTAAATATAGCAACAGCTGTTAACCTGACAAGAATCAGAACAGGCACAACATGGGTAGTTACCACATGAGGGGAGCACAAGGGGCCTGCAGCCTTCATACTCTTGCCTTTCTAGCCGCACTGCCACAAACAGAAGCAGTCAGCCACCTGGGATATTCCCTGTCTAGGAGGAACCAGAGCAAAATGCACCTATTTGTTTTACACGGGAATTCAAAGTATCAGAGAGCAGTAAACAGTGCTGGATTCATATGGTTAAAACTTTCTGTCCTAACTCCAATGAATTATTCAATCTTTCCATTTTAGTGTTTTGTTGTGAGCAAGCATTTCACCAGCACAGTACTCCAGAGGTCTCTCCTTACACTGTCTTTGCTGCCTTTACTCTTCAGATCCTGGATTTCTGCCATGAGCCTCTGAAGCTCCTCGCAAGTTTGCTTGTAGAGTTCATAGTCTTTGCCAGGGTCTCTTAGATCCACCTCTGTCTCTTCACTATAGTACTTAACATCCTGTAAAACAGCAAGAAAATAGGTTTCAACTGGATTCCCTTCCCTTCTCAGAAAGAGTCCCACAGAAATCACATTGTGGGCCTTATGTTTAGCCTCACTCCATCCACTCCAGAATCCAAATGCTTTATGCACCAGTGACCCAACCGCTAGTGCTGCAAACTCCACGGGAGATCCAAGCCTGGCAAATTCATGCCTCACCCATAATCCCATTAAAATTAGCATCTGATCTGCACAGGTCCTAGTTAGGCAACCAAACAACTAAGGAAGAGGGGAGGGAAGGGAAGAGAAGAGTAACAAATAAAACATTTGTAAAAGGTTCAGAGATGCTTGCAAGAGAGATATGAAAACAACAAACAGAGTCAAACAACTGTGAGAAGACTGCTGAGGACTGAACTGCCTGGACACAGATTCACAGAAGTTTAGGGCTGGAAGGGACCTCATGAGATCATCGGGTCCCGCTCTGAGCAGGAAAGACTGCTGGGCTCAAACCACCCCAGCAAGGAGCGCGTCCAGTCTCCTTTGGCAGGTAAAAGGCACAGTCTGCCCAGCACAAAACAAAGGCTTTGGAGGGGAAGGGCCGACAAGCTGAAGATGGCAGGTGCATCAGGAAGACCCAGCACCGCATCCAGGAGGGTTTGATACGAACTGAACTCTGCACGTGGTGCAAGCCGCGGTCACTCCAGAGCAGGGCCCCGCCGCGTCCAGCAAGCTGGTGCCTCGCTCCGTGCAACCCCACTGCTTTTCAAAACCGACAGATGCCTGCTACTGCCCCGCGAAGGCCGCTCCCAGCATCAGCTGCAGTGCGGCAGCCCCTGCCCCGCGGCAAAGGGCCGGTCACCCCGCACCCGGGCAAGCTTGGGCTGCTCGTCCCGGCGCAGGGGCCGCAGACAGGCCAGGCTGGCCCGGCTCCGACGTGCTGGGGGCGGAGGCCCCGCCCCGCGGTACCTGCTCGGCGTCGGCCTTGCTGCGCTTGCCGTCGGGCGCGGCGCCGTCCGTGCGGATCACCTTGGGCTTCCGCTTCTTACTCGAGTCTGACGACATCTGCGGGCGGGGGGG